GAAAGGTGCAGCTCCAGGAGCTGCCCAGCAGCCTCGGACTTGACAGGAGAGGGGCTGCTGTGTGGGTGCAGGCTCCAGCCCCGCTTTCCGAAGCGTGCCGTAAGGTATTTTTTATGTTTTATGGAATCCTGGTGATTTTACCTTCTATCTGTCTTGCAGTTTTGTGAGTTAACCGCTGTCTCCGCATTTAACTTTTGTGCAGGGTGGATGTTATTACAGAAATGAAGTGGAAAAAGAGCAGTTACCGGTGCATGCTACCATTTGATTATCTCATATCAACACCAGTAACTGCAACTTCAATAATGAAAGGGTCTGTGGCAGTCTCAGATGGGAATGGGAGAAGGAAAGATGATGGAAATTCCTGCTTTACTGTTACTGTTTGCTGAGCAAAGGTTTTCTGAAGGCTTCCCTATGTGTGGAGTCCATGAGTTGAAATTTCTACACTATGAGATTGATCTGATTTGGTTAAAGGAAGTAAGTGCCTTCTGCTTTGCTTCAAAGCTGGTTTATTTTATTTCATTTTAGATTTACTGTGATCCATCCTTACAAACCAGTATCCTCACACAGGGGTAGTGCTGTGATCTAGAAAGGGGCACGTAAAAAAATCACGCGCAGGTGATGGGTTGAACTAAAGGCAATGGACCATGTGAGGAAAAAGCACCAATGAAGTGCAGCAGTGACAGAAGAGGAAATTAAAAAATGGCCATCTAGAATGCAATTAATTTTTCAAAATAGAAATTATTCTTCTAGCTAACTAGAAATAACTATTTTATGTGGAGTGGAAATAAATAATTAGGAGTTGAGTTCCATTAACCTGCAGGAAGCACCTCTGCCCAGTTGTTAAGACCTGATGTTTTTACTGCAAGTCTTAACGCTTAAATAGAAAGTGGGAGAGGAGAGCTGAGCTCTCTCCAGGTTGATGGAGACTTCAACCGTGATGCCAAAGCTCTTCACAGCACCCCTTCCCCGTGGTCCTGCTGAGCTTTGCAGAAGCATCCACTCCATGTGCAGGGCTCTTCTGTAAAATCATGAGCAACCTCCTGAATTCTTAAAAGGAGCTTAGAGAATGTTATAACAAAATCACACTCAGACCACAACTCAGGCTTCTGCTGGTTACAGAGTCGTAACACAACTGTAAAACCTGCAGATAGGTGCAGATCCTGACCACGTGGAGAGTAGAATTGCCGTGCTGCTCAGGCAATGCAAACACACCAGCAGCCCCTGGCTTTATGCTAAATTTCCCTTTTGCCTTTAGCTGACCATTGCCACACTGTTTTGGGAAGGCAAAACCCCGATAACCCCCCCGGCTCCCCAGGCACTGCCCCGAGCGGTGCCCGGGGGCTCGGCACCACCACGGGCTCTCGCCACACGAGTGCATCCTGCCTCCAAACCCTTGCTCCTACATATCCTTTACGTTGTAACAGCAGTGGCGTCACAGGGAGGACAGGGATATGTGGCACCTCAAGGACTTTGGAGGCCTGGAAGGGACGCAGCTCGTGCCACCGATGCGGCCCCACAGCCCATATTCTCTACATGTTTTATGGTGTTGCAATCAGCACAAAACCTTGAACTTACCGACCCATACAGCTCGCCTCTCTCGTTCATGCCGAGGTAGAGTCCTGAGTCCACCCCACGGATGCTCACCAGCCCCACTGCCAGGCTAATAAACTCCAAAATCCCTAAAAGAGAAAAGAAGTCCAAATCATACGGAGAATAAACCTGACAGGCTCCGGTGACAGACACAAACCAGCCTTTCCAACCCTTGCAAGAGCTTCCTACAGACCCCGTTTTCCTCATTTATAACGACACAGTTCTCAAATCTCTAGTCCCACACGTGTGCAATCTTCCAATTTCCACTCCGGGCTCCTCCCCAGCATGTGAATCTGACTTGCCCAACAGGAATGATCTTTGCTAATAAGAAAAGGTTTGCTAAGTTTTGTAGGTTTGGGGTTTGGTGTTTTTTAATTATCACCAAGAAGACCGATGTAGAAACTTGTGCCTGGCCCACCAGAAATCTCAGAAGGCTGTGCTGGGCTTTATTCTTCACAAAAAGAGAGTCATTTCTGTCCCCATGGGGCTTCTGGTTTGAGATGACAGTCCTGCATGATTCAAAGTGATGAGTTCAATAAAAATAAGTAAAGAGTCCTAGAAGAGATGTCTATGAGGATCATCTTTGTCCTGGTGCTCCAGCGGGGTACCTGCCACCCCCAAATGCATATACAAGCTGCAGGGATAAAATCCAACCTCAAATATACGCAGGTAGAAATGAATCTTCCTGCTCCAGCAGCATCTGTCTCAGCCCCACTCCAGCAACCATTTTCCCCGTGGCCTTCAGCCCACAACAACGGTGTCGGACACTTTAAATAACGAGGTTCTGCCGTGCTGCCTGCTGCACCCTCGCTGCCGGTAAGGGGGACGGCAGCTGTTTTGGCGGAGGAAAGACTTGTAATAGGAGAACCCTTGGCGAAGCACTTAAAAACCAAACAGCCCCCAAGTAGGTGTGTTTTTAACTGGTTTGAACAAAGCCAACATCACAAGTGGTGGAGGCCTTCTGAATTCACAGGAAAACCTCCTGAAGGCATTAGTGGGGCTGTGTTAGACTCCGGACATCCCACGCTCCCCAGCTAGGGTCCACGGACAGTCTTTGCCCATGTCCAGTGAATTAACTAGCTGGGAGGCAGCAGCAGAGGAAGGAAGAGGGTTTTCACCCCCCCATCTAATGACTGGACAAGACGTCTCCGCTGACAGGACAAAGCTGCTCCAACCTTTAGCGTGGCTCCAGGTCCCTTAATATAGCCACTCCGATCCGGTTACCTCCCAGAGCTCCTCTTAAAAGTATGTCTTGGGTCTAAGATCACCGTGTGGCACACGGCCACCTGAGCCGGCCGACACTTTGGGGGCAGTCGCAGCCCCCGGTCACCCCTCAGCTTGGGGCACGTGTCTTCTGCTCGGCCAGGCAGGGATGCGACAACGCTCAGATAACGGCATCACCGCCTAAATATAGGACAGACAGACGGCGATGGACACCTCTGTCCCCCTTCGCCCAACGCAGACTCATCAGTCAGATGCTGGCAGCTAAGCAGGATCCAAGAATTAGCCTTCCCACCTTGGATCAGACTTTTTGTCCTCCTTTTGCCCTGCCTGCTCTGGGGCTCACGCATTGAATCCAGCCCTCCCTGCAGCCAGCGGGTGCTGCAGGGGGTGGGAGATGAGATACGGACTCGGGAGCTGTAATTCCTCAAGACAAACAAGGAAGCAAACGACAAAATACGCTTTATGGACCAGTGCAGCCATTCTCCAGGCTGAAATATGCCCAGCTCCACACCCCAGCCTGGGGACACGTCGCCTTCAGAAATGCCCGGAGCAGGCTGCATGCTTCCGTTGTCCCATCTGCAGGACAGAAATGACGACAGCTGCCGTTTGAAAAGGAGAGAGTGAAGGAAGATTGACAACAACTAGAGTTAAGAGTGTAAAAAGTCATACAGGGGGAAAGGAGTACAGGGATACCCAGAAATGGGGTAACTGGAGAGCCATAGATTGACCTTCCTACAGGTACAAACAGAGTCCTCAGCACCAGCTTTTTTTTTTTTTTTTTTAATTTGTTTTCTGCCACCCCTGGGAAGCAGGAAAACGCTCCTGGTCCCGTTTAGAAAACAAGGGATGTCTGAGGCAAGGAAACCAAAAGCTTTTCGTGAGTACAGCCACAAGCACGCTCTGTACATGGCATGCGAACCCACGTCTCCAAAGACCTGGTAAGGAGCAACCCAGGAGCAATACTGGTGCCTTCCCTCTCTGAGCAGGGAGGAGACACACCTCTCATCTGGTGCAGCTGTGTGAATGCTTGCTGGTTTTGCAAACAAAGTTTCTTCAAGGTGTGCCCGTGACAGTCTCTTCTGACGACCTCCCTTGCAATATTCCCCTTTTCTGATCTTCGAGTGGCACTTAGAGACGCGCACGGAAGACAACTGTGTTGAAACAGCATTAAGAACGTAACTTAAACCCACAAAAGTCAGGAGACAGAGTGAAGGCTGAAAAAAATGTGGGCAGATATCCATCCTGTCCTTAACTCACTCCAATTGCTAGACAAAATTGCAGCTTCGTACATCTGATCTCCAGCAGCACAGGGAGCGGCCACTGGGGCCAGCTCAAGAATTTTCTTTCCAACTGTAGCGGTGTGTTTTTGTGGTAGAACACACTTTTTTTTTTTTTTTTGACCCCTTTTCCTTTTTCTTTTTGCATTCCCCCAGGACTTGCCTCTTTTTTTCTTGCTTTGATTACTCATTCTGTTTGTTCCTTGAGCCTTTCTAGATAACATTTAGAGAGATTGGATTAAGGCTCCGACTGGATTCATTTACCACCAAAGCACTGAATAATCTCCCGAGCTTTGCCATGACCGGACCCGCACGCTCTCGCCTTACTAGAAACCATCCCTCAAAGAACGATTCAGCTCCTTGCACCTGTCCCTTCCTGCACGACTGTATTCAGGAGCCGGGTACAGAAACATCAGATGTTGTATTAATGGCTACAAACCTAAAGCTTCGGCTCAAAACCTCAACAACTGTTCAGCAACAGGTGCGCTCCGGTCTGAACGTCAAAAATCTACAGCAAAACTTTCTCTGGAGGTTTTGTCAGCTTCTCCAGGAGGCTGCTACAGATCCGTTGGCAGGTCCGTACCCAAGAAGAGCTTCACTTGCTGCCTTTATGAGTCTGCAGAAGAAACTCAAGGCCTTTTTCTCTCCTTACTCGCAGTTAAGAGCAGCACCGCTGGTGCCACTTGTTTAAAGCTGCTGTAAAACAAGACATGAGGCAGAAAAGGAGCAGTTCCAGCAGGGATTTTCCTGGCCATTTATCTCGGTTTCATTCTCAGAAGGATTCTCATAGGGGTGCTAACATCGGTCCAAACCCCCTCCAGGTTTTGACCATCCTTTGTACAGGACGGTTCTTAGGAGATGCAGTGAGAACAAACACAGTTTTGAAAACACTTTCTTCTTTCTGGGATGACTTAGGCAGAGCTGCCAGTTCAGAGAGCACGTTTGGGCACTTCTCTACTGTGGGAATGAGCTTCCTTCCACCAGTTCCAGAGGGCTTCACCAAATTCTGCGGTAAGCCTCCTACACTGCACTCCATTGTTCTTGCACGAATCTGTATTTTTACGAGTATAAAATACCGTGTTCCAGAAAACAGGTGTGATTTAGGAAAGTTCCAGTCCTCGACAGATGAGAGGGAAGTTACTGGGAATGCTCAATACGGTGTAGGCACACGATGCTGCTACCTCCCCTGTGTCCTACGGGCACATCCCCAAATGCTGTGGTACAAAGGAACGTCTCCCTTTACACCTCGCCGTTAGGACTTCAGTCCTCTGTTCTGCATCACCAGGGCTTTGGCTCTTTATTTTGCTCTCTGGAAGACTTGGATGTCTTGCACATCTGGTAACTTTTGGGATGGCTGTGCATGGGAGGGTGCAGATACTGTCCATCTTTTCCTGAACTCCTTCCAGAATTAGGAGATAGAGATGCAAAGTCCAGTTCCACCCTACATCCCATCTGCAGCTGGATATGTGCCTCTGCTGTGGTGTCCCAGAGAGCCATCCACAGAGCTCGTTAATTATGTGCTCATGAGATCGGGGGGGACCTTCCAGCCATGTGGGCTTGATCCACCAAACCACCATACTGCATTTTTAAGTATTTCCCCAGATGCCCCTAGATTTAAGGCAGCTTTAAACCGCTCCCCTGAAACCCTCGTCCAGCTCTGTATCCCTCACCACAGATTTGTTGTTCCCCAGAATCGCTCAGGCTGCCTATTTCTATAAGAAGTTACTGCTCTCCGACTGCTGCATGCAAAATTTAGGAATGCATTGATACATGACATCCTAATATGAACCATACCAGTAACACTGGAATTTCAATATTCATGGCTACTGAATGCAGATGGTGAGCACTGTGTGCCAATACGTTATTGCTTTGAGTCTTTGCTGAAGTGAGGTTTAGTCCAACTTTATCTGAACACGAGGATTCCAGTCTAATCCTTTGGGGGTTTGTCTTGCAATTACAACAAATAACTATTTATTTTACACTGCCTCTGGGAAAACCCTGAAGCAGAAAACTATAATATTTTATATCTGAAGTTTGGTCTAGTTTGCGTAGCTGGATGCTGACTGCTAAAACACTTAGGGAATGCCAATGTTTCGATTTATTGAATGCACTTGAGCTTAAGCGTGCAAAATTCACCAAAAGCTTTAGCCCGTTTAACACATTTTTCCAAAGTTTGTTTGGAAATACACTCATTTTACTCAATCTTTATTAAAAATGGAACGGAGACAAACGCTGCCATTTGAAACTGGCTGTTTACTTGCAGAAAGGTAAGTAAAAAGAAACGACAGAAATACTACGTGGCAGATTGAACTAGAAACAAATGCAATGGGTTTGCTTTAAGGTTCTTTTAACGTGGAAGCCCATCATGTATTGCAACATAAAGGTTAAAAGATGCATGTCTTTTGGGAGGTAATTAAAGAACGCTTGCCCCACGAGTCTATTAGTACCTGACCCCCAGGTTATGACTTTCTTGTTGATTTAGGCAGGGAGATGCCATGCACACACCTGGTGTTTATGGAAAGCGCAGTACGGAGATAAGCTTCTCCAATTGTTCCAAAACCTGCCTTACACTACCAACAATAGCAGCAGCGTTCATGAAATATCAGAAAGGACTGGCTGCAAACAAGT